TTTATTATTACAAGAAAGAAAAGCATGAGAGTAAGGTTATTAAAGTACAGTACGTTACATGCACCGAATCTCCCAGTTCTCGATGCAGGCTCTAGCAGAGGTGTTGCAGCTGCTGGTTTAAAAGTTATTATTGCACATCCTATCATCAGGATGGGTTCACAGGTCTTCCAGGCTCTTCGATCCCTGCAATGCTGCCTCTGGGATGAAGTGCTGAGCTGAGAACCAAATGGCATCGACCGCATGGCCTCTTTATACCTCCTTCCTGGCCTCTTCTGGTCTCAGCCGGTCACCTGGTCCTCAGCCTCTCTCTGCTGGCAGCTCTTAGGTCTCCGCCCTCATGCTTTAGGTGTGTCTTTGGCCCATCAAGTGCAATTGTCCCACAGGGCTTCGCTACTCAGCCTGCCCATAGCAATGCTTAACCACATTCCAAGAAATATTCAGCTTCCACACAGATTACAGATTCCTACCTACACACACAGACATTATACGCTCACATAAACAGTGTACACAGGATCAGAAAACAACAAGCAAGAAAGCCACAGCTGTGTGTGCGGACCCCAGGGAGGGCCAGGCTGCGAACAGCTCCTCTGCCGCCCATGAGGGGATCCACTGTGGCCGCACACTTCCCTTGCTTTCCTGGCCATTGTATTTATGTTTGGGGGGTGGGGAGGGGCAGGGAGAGGGCAGCACAGTCCTCTGGTCCCATCGGGGCCCATGTGAGACAAGGCATGCTGTGCAGGCCACACATGGCCTTGTACATGGGCCATCCCCCTCCTGCGTGCCACGGACAGGTGTGGCCCCCCAGCCACAAGGAATGTGTGTGCAGGGAGGACTGATGGCCCCTCCCTCTAGTGTGTTCTCCACAGCTGGACCAGCTAGGACGGAGGGCCCAGCCACACTCCCGCAGCCAGCTGCCAGAGTCCAGAGGAGCCGCAGATGGGCCAGGCCTGGGAAGGATCTCATGCAGCAACATGTCGGCATCATGGTGACGCCCATGACACCCTGTTGTGCAGGCTCAATGCCAACCTAGAATAGCAGGAGCGTGCGTGGACTGAGATGATGTCACATTGCAACAACATCTGGAACACCCAGCCGATGTCACTGCTCTTGCCTTCCACCCTCCTGATCCCCCTCCTATGGCCCTTGTCCATCCATCTGCCCACCCTACTACGCCTCTCCTCCCTCCCCATGCCAGGCCTCTGCTCCCTCCCTTCCCAATGCCCATGCCCCCTCCTCTTGGCCCCCCTGCCAACCCTGACCCCGCTCTAGCCGCCCCTCCTGCCCAACCCTTGCTGGTGCCCAGATGCACCCAACCACAAAGAGGTCCCTGCACCTGAGGTGCACCTGAGGTGGCAGCGCAGGCTGCCCCACTAGTCCTCCCAGTCCTGATCCCCCCTCCCAGTTCAGACATCGCCCCTCCCCCTGCCCACTTTCTCTTGATGTGTAATAAAAAAAAAGACTTGTTTTGTTTTGAAACCAAACAGGTGTGTTTATTGGGAGGTCAGAGAAGGAGCAAGGGGAGGGGATGAGAGGGGGAAGGGAGAGAGCAGAAAGGCAGAAGCCCCTGTTGGGGAGGCCCTGGGGAGAAGTACTGGGGGGCCTGAGAGAAGTACTGGGGGGCCTGATGGGACTGGCGGGGGGGAGCGGGGTCGGGGGGGGAGAGGATATCCCACCCCAGGAGGAAGGCCTCCTCATTGTGCTCCACAATATCGTGGAGCGCACAGCATGCCGCTGTCACCACCTTCGGGATACTACACTCCTCGATGTTCAGGCTGGTGAGGAGGCAGAGGAAGCGTCCCTAGAGGCACCCAAAGGCACACTCCACCTGCATCAGGGCTCAGTTGAGGTGGGCATTTAAAAGGTCCTTGATGGGATCCAGGAGGCTGGTGTAGGGTTTCATCAGCCAGGTCATGAGTGGGTATGCTGCGTCCTCCACTATGAACACTAGCATGTTGTGCTCACCCACTGCAAAGTCCCGGTGGGGGGAAAAGGTGCCTGCTTAGTGCATAGGCTGGAATTCTGGAAAATGTGGACATCATGTGCCCTGCCCGACCACCCCACATAAATGTCTGTAAAGTGGCCCCAATGCTCCACCAGAGCCTGCAGGACTACAGAGAAGTAGTCCTTTCTGTTTATAAACTGGGCCACTTGATGGTCCGGGGCCCGGATGTGGATAGGAGTGCTGTTGATGGCTCCCCCGCAGATGGGGAATCCCAGGACAGCAGATCTGCCCATGGTTGTCTCCAGGTATTGCTCAGCAGCAGGGATTTGATGGCCCGGATGACCTGCAGAAGGAGTCAAAGAAACACACACAGCAGAGAATGAGAGGGGGTTGCATGAGCCCTTGAGAGCTGCCCCCTCTCATCTTCTCCCATTCTCTGCCCCCCCAGGAGCCACCCCCTATGAGCACCCCCCC